TCCCATCCCATCCCATCCCATCCCATCCCATCCCATCCCATCCCAAAGAGAATTGATATTCCAAGAATGTTCTGGCAATAGGACTTAGGACATGTAATTGTTGAAGTCAAGTGTCTATCTTAAAGAAAACAACCCCAAATGTAATTTTCATGCTGAAAGGAAAAAGGTCAGAGGGATGTGCTGAGGGAGTGATGCCTCTCACTGGCTGTGTGGCATGTGCCCTGACCAGGAATCGAACCCGCAACCCTTTTTTGGTGTACGAGAAGACACTCCAGTCAACTGAGCCACCTGGCCAGGGCTTACCTCCCTAATCTCATCTCCTGTTTCTTCATTACATTCCAGCCATGTTGGCCGCCTTTCTGTTTCTCAGATACTCTTAAGTTCAGTCCCATCTCAAGGCCTTTGCACCTGCTGTGATTTCTGCCTGGAATATTCTTCTCTTAGATCTTCATGAGGTTTACTCCTCCTCGTCATTCAGATTTCTGCTTAAATGTCTCCCTCTTGAGGGGCTTTTCTTGTTTCCTCTTCAAAAATTATTCCCCCTTATATAGTTCTAGTGCATTCCTTTATATGAATTAATTTTTTTAAATCAACCCTTTGAGATATCTATATATAATAAAATGCACCTATTTAAAGTATATCTATCATTCACTGAATGTTGAAAAATGTATACACCTGTTGGCCACCGCCACAATTAATGTGTAGAACATTTTCATGATCCCTAAAAGTTCCCTTGTGAACCTTTGCTTGCTTAAATTTTTTAGAATCCTCCTCACTATATGATACATTTCTTGTTTGTATGTTTATTTGTTGCCTGTCTATCTCCTCACCCTTAGATTAGCTCTCAGAGAACACAGCACTTCTCTGTTGTGCTCATTGCTGTAGCTGCAGCCCCTAGAACAGAACCTAGAACTGGCACATAGTAGGTGCTCAAAAAGTTTTTTTTAATTGAATGAATGAAATTTCCTGGGAAATGACCCTTTCCAAAGATTAGGATGCTCATACTAGCCAAGGCTGTCAAGGACCCAGAAAACCAAACTTGGTGAGTCACAATTCAATCTTTGTCAAATGCCTATTGTGTACAAGTGGATTTTTTTCTTTATACATTATTTTATTGAATCTCTCAACAGTTCTATCAGAAGATGCTATTACCTCTCTTTCACTGATGAGGAAACTGAGGTTCAGAGAAGTTGAGTGACCTTCCCAAGGTTACACAGCAAGTGTCAAAAGTGGTTTAGAGACCAAGTAAGGCCAAGCCTGGAAAGCACTCATTGCATTTTATAGTTAGGAGACCATTTGATGACTCAGTGGAGTGGTGGGGGTGGAAGGCTGACTACAGTAGGTCCAAGAGTGGATGGGGACCTGGGAAATGAATAGGATGGGTGGGGCTATATTTTGGAGAATTCTGGCCAAGTGAGAAAATAGAGTAGAGCTCAAGTAGATAATTTGGGATGCACAGGAAAGGAGAAAGTTTGGATGACATAGGTGGGGGTTTTGCAGAAAGGCAAATGAGGGAGAGATTTGAGAAGAGTAGCAAGGTGAGGGATCCACATCTCTTTCTGCTTTACAACCATGCACTTGGTATAGTGCTTAACATAGGAAATGTTCAATTAAAAGTTTGTGGAAAGAGGGCAGGAGGGAGGGGAGAAGGGAGGACTATGAGAATTAGACAGGGAGGAGCCACTTGACTGGGAAGAAATGGAGGGGCTGAAATAACGGGTGCACTTCAAGTAGCAGAATGTGAGAACAGGAGGACAGGACACGATCGGGGAGGGGAGTTTCAGTTTGAGATTTCGGAGGTGAAGAGATCTCTGGTGATGATAAAAGGTATCAAATCATATATAATGTATATATTGTCACTATGTAAAATATATTTGTATATAAAAAAAGGAATAGAAGAAAATATACCAAAATGTAAATGGTAAATATGGAATTTCAGATGACTTTAATTTTTTCTTTATTTTTTACTTTATTTGCTGCAATGAACTTACATTACTCTTTTAATAAAAACTAATAAAAATCAAGAGAACTAGTCTGTCTTTCCATTTCTTCTTGGAACTGAATTTTCTCCTTTTGAACTCTAAGCTGTATCTGATGCCTTTTTAAGCACAGTATTGCTCACTAGGCATGATGATGCTTTACACACTTTACTCTTCAAAGTAGTTACTATTTTTCCCAGTCTACAGACATAGCTGACGCTCAGAGAAGTTGAATAATTTGCCTGAAGCCACACAGCTATTAAATGGCAAAGCCAGGATTTGAACCCAGGACTGTATGAGATTGAACTGATTTTTCTTACATCTACTACCTCCAAGAGTCCAGTAAGTTGAAGGCCTCTTAGCTCACATTTTAAGTGCTTAGTAGCCTCAAGGAAGATAAATCTTAAATACTTTAAATATCAGAACTGAAAGGGTGCTAAGAGTTTAGCCCTAAATGGCCTCTTTCTCCCTATTTACAGGTGAGAAAACTGAGGTCCAGAGAGGGTATGACATGGCAGAGTCATTTAATGGGTTTGTGGAAGGCTGTGATTCAGGCCCCTTGCTTTCTACTGTTTTTCCAGGCTATTCTAGGCCACAGAGCAGCTCAGCAACCAGAGGGTGTGCCAGGCCTTTAGAATCCAACCCTCTCATTGTAGAGATGGGGAAACAGAGACCCAGAGAAGAAAGATGGTTTTCGCAAAGTCAAACGGCGAGTCAGTGGCAGAGATGTTTGTTGAACTCAGGTCTCTAATCTCCATAAATGCTACATTGACCACTGCTGCAAGTTGTCAAGTATCAGGTGGCCAGCAGGTAATAATACCAGTGGCCTCAGGGACAACATGAGCTTTTGGATTCCCAGGCCTTGCATAGGTTACTAATTTTCATTGAAAATGGTAGACAAAATGTTGGCATCTGAAAAGATAAGCTTTAGTTTATCTACAACCTACATTAAACTATGCAGGAATGTTGGTTGATTGGAGAATCATTGAATTGGTGATACAAATAAGGGTGAGGGGAGAGCTAATGGTGTTGGCTGTGGTCATGGTAAAAGTACAGAATCAAGCAGAAGGAAACTGGAATTCAGATGAGGGGCTGAATGATACAGAAGTCACAAGGTGTGTATGTGAATGTTAATTCTGTCAGCCCTCAGATTTGACCATGAAAACTTGGCCATAGAGATATTCTGAGACAAAGGGCCTCTGTACCCAGTTGGCTCAGACCCACTGAAGACAGCCCAGCAGGGCTGAGGAACAGCCTGCTGTTCAGGCCTCAGACTGATAAGGCATTGGGATCATCTGTGGATTGTGGATACTTAGACATGCTGGCCCTGGAGAAAAATCATCCTGGACAGATGCCCAGACCAAAGAGGCCTAATCCAGCTGGCCTTTCCAGGTCTCAAGCACAAACTCTCTCCAGATGGCAAGGATCTCTCCAGAGGCTGCAGCGATGTGGAGGCAAGAGGGGCCATTGTTAACATACAGAAAATTTTTAAAAAGGCTGGAAAGAAATATATAAAAATGTTGACAATAGTCATCTCTGGGAGGTAGGTTATGGGTGTTTTTATTGCTTATTTGCTTCCTTTGGGCTTTCTACATTTTCTATAATAAATTATTTTACTTTGAAAAATCAAGAAATATAAAATAAGAAAAGCAGACACTTTATTTGCCTGTCTCTCTCATTAGATTGGGAGCTCCTTGAGGGCTTGAGGGCTCAAGGAATTATGTCTTGTTAGTACCCTGATGTCTAGCACTCACACTGGCACAGTATAGTTGCTCTGTAAATATGTAAGTAAATGACTTGTATTCTCTTTTATTTCTAGCATAGAGGCTCTTATTAATGCCCACTTTTTAAACAAACTGTAAAGAAAAACTGAAAAGTACTTTGACTTACATTTATTGCAAACTCTTTAGGTTATAAAGGGCTTTTCACACATATGACCTTATGGGAAGCCATGTAGTGTAGAGATTAAAAGTACATTCAAAACACAGCAACTTTAGGGAGAAAGAACCTCCTGGGACCCTGCCCTCAGGAGTAGTGGGTGAAGTGGTCACTGAGACTTCCTGGCCTGTCTAACACAGATCTTGGGAGAGACAGGAGAAGACCATGGGAATTAAGCCCACCCCCTGGGGCTCATGAAGGAGGGTAGTTGAGTCATCAGACTTGAGTAGCAAGAGATGTCAGAGCCAGCTAGGGGTGGTTTAATTAAATGTGTGTTAATGTGGGGCTTTCCTGGGCAGAGTTAAGGCAATTGCCCTTGATATTGGGTAGTGGGATTTGAAAAATAGCCATTCAGCTGCAGGAAGGAAATGAAATAAAGGCTACCCCCAAGGCCTCTTCCATCTCAAACTGCCAAATGCCCTGTAACCCTGGGACCATGGTGGGCCCAGGAAGTTGGAGTCAGCAACTCTGAGGCATGAAGTTAAAAAGGCACTGAATGTTTGGATGGAGTGCCAGGTCCCAAAAAGAATGCCTCTTTGTCTACATGCCATCTTTGCCAAAGCAAAACAAATCTATCAGCATCTCCTTGGAACTGCAAGGGAGAGTCTAAAAAGTTTAAGCAATAAAAAAGGGTAAATGGAAATTGATTGTTCAATATCATCATTACTAATTCAAGAAGTATAAAATGGTATTGCTAATCTCTTTACTTGGTGAGCTGATTTTATTTTTCTAAACATAAGTATGTATAAGGGCTTAGTTCCCCTAGCCACGTTTTTTCCACCTGCTTTAATGAGAATGCCTCATGATTGTCAGCTATATATTCCGTGGTGGGTTTTAGGACTTAACTCTCATAGAGGAGGGTGGGGTGGGGTATTAGCGGCTCAACTATGTGGTAGTCCAGCCACACCACCTGGTGGGATTCAGGCATCAGATAGAGAGAAGTGTTTCAGGAATATTGGAGTTATCCCCTGATATTCCCTTACTGATCTCATAAGTCTTGCTCAGACTTAGCTGCATTGTGTTGTCTCTAAGAAAACACAAATAATTTCTATATATTGCTTTCTTTCTTCTTAACCCCACAGATGGATGGCAAAAACGATGGGTGGAATCTAAACATAGGCCGGATTATGGTAAATTTCAGCTCACTGCGGGAAAATTTTATGGAGACAAAGAAAAAGATAAAGGTAAATACTGGAATTCAGAAATGTACTAATTGGAAAAAAAAATCTGACTTTTATAGTTGTTTTTATCCATGATTACCAATTCATCTCTCTTTCTTAGAATTAAGAAAAAGTTGTAAATGAAGAATGAACTCCACAAAAATAATAACATATTTACTGATATAGGTATTTAAAACTAAGCCCTTATATGCATTATCCCCATGAATCTTCCTAGCAATTTCATGAGGTGGTTACTATTATGTGCTTAGTTTTGCAGAGAGGCCTCAGAGAAGTGGGGTAATTTCGCCCAAAGATATACACAGATGGCAAGAAGCAGAGTTGAGATCTGGTTCTAGGTCTGACCCAGGACTATGTTCATTACCACTGGACTATATTGCTTTCCCCAGCCCTAGAATTTTTTATGTAACACTGTACTTGAAACAGGAAAAAACACTCTATAACTTCTAAATGTTGCTCTCCCCTAGAGCAGCTTGGTACAACAGAGAGTGGGGCACAAAGACCTAGGGCTAACTCCCACAACTCGCTGCATCATTTGGGCAAGTCTTTTCTCTTTCTGAGCCTTGGTGGAGACAATAATCATCACCTGCCATGCTCATTGGACTGGGAGCCAAATGATATTAAGGGGCAGGGAGAGCCATGAGAGCAAAGTCTGCAGGCAAGGGTTTTTTGTCTGAGAAAGCTTTTGTCCTATAAATAGAATATTCATTGATTGTCCTTTGGAGTGATTTCCCGTCTTCTCTATCCTGGCTACTGTTATGAATCTCATTTTCATGTTTATTAAAGGGGAAAATTATTAACTAACTTGAGCATTTCAAATCTCATTTAAATCCACTCTGGAAAATTGTTTCCAGAGGAGAGAGAATTGGAGACTGAGTGACCCATGAGATGCCTGCTTCTTAGTGGTTCTGAAGGCAGTCTGCACAGCCACCCACCCCCTCAGTTTGATTACTTGGTTGGTGCTCCTCACAGCTCATCTCTGTCAGGTTCATTAGGTTCCCTTGGTTGTCTAGAAGGGCTCTTGGGAACAAATGAGGCTCAGAGAGAGTGGGGATTACTTTGGGCTACGTAGCAAGGTTTGGTAGAGGAGAGATTCAAAGCCTGGTCTTTGGCCACAGGTTCAGTGCTCTTTTCCTTGTGCCCACTCCCTCCTCCAGAGACGTCTTTTCTGGCTGCTCTAGCCTCATCAGAGCTCTTTGAGGAAGTAAGCATACTCTTTAAAATACAGACAGCTCCTAACACAGTGTCAGACATGAAAGTGCTTAGCCAGAGTCTGGTGTGCAATAAATGCTCAAGAGACATCTGAGTCAGCACTTGTGATCCTTCTGCGCAATTGAACACATACTTATTGAGCATTTCTTCTATGCCTGACCTTGTCTTAGATGCTGGGAATATAATGATTCCACTGCTCTTCAGGAGCTTAAAACTTATTCAAAGAGACTGAAATAAACCTGGTTGTAACCAAGCATGATGCAGGGAAGTACAGAGAGCTTCATGGAAGAAGGACCCTCACCAAGCACGAACATGATAGCTCCTTGCATTTTATGTTGACAGTGTACAAAGTGCTTCTCACATCTCTTACCCTTTTACTTTCACGGGAAACCTAGGAGGTAGGAATCATCATCCACATTTGGCTGATGAGGAAACTGAGGCTTAGAGGGTTAAAGTGACAGAGTCATAACCAGTTAGCTGGACAGCACTAGGAAATGATGGAAAGACAACTGGCCTGGAAGTCAGGAGACTTGGCATATGTCTGTCATTTGTGATTGTGTGATCTTGGCTAAGTAACTTTTCCTCTTTGGGGCTTGGTTTCCTCATCTTTGAAGTAATGTAGTTAGACTAGAAAGGCCCTGAGGTCGCTTACAGCTCTGATATTCTCTGGAGGAAGAGGCAAACCTTAGTGTGGGGGCTCTGGAATCAGAGAGACTGGCTGTGTGATCCTGGGCACGTGAAACAGCCTCGATGACTTCACGATAAAGTGCAGATATCAGTAGAGCCCACCTCATGGGGTGGTTATGAGGATTAAGAACAGTAATACACATGAACGAAAAGAGGAAGAATTGAATAAATATTAGCAATGGTTATTATTTGCCCTAAGAGGCAGTGCCGAACCTCTTTCTACCATAGCAGCTGAGCATGGCAGAGCCTGATTCTGGCCACCCAGGGGGACTCAGGCGAAATGAGGCTTTGCTTTGTGAAGCTGCAAAACCATGCTCAAGTACCTCTTGAAAATCAGGGGCGGTGTGGTATAGGAGAAAGGAAGAATCAGACAAACATGGCTTAAAATCCCATTTTAGTTCCTCATTAGCCACGTGGCTCTAGGCAGGTCACTTCACCTCCCCATGACTCAGACTCTTACTTTGTGAAGTGGAGATAATACCCAATTTGCAGGGTTGCTCTGAGGCTTGGAAAAGGTAATGTGTGTAAACTACCCAGCACAGCTCCTAGCACACAGTAGGTGTGTAAGAAAGTTCCAGAAGTTGGTGAGGCCAAGTGCTGGGCCTCTCGGGCTGCTCTTTGGGTATATAAGCCTCACGGTTCTGTCCTCTCTGCTACCAGGTCTCCAGACCAGTGAAGATGCCAAGTTTTATGCCCTCTCAACCAGGTTTAAGCCATTCAGCAATGAGAACGAGACCTTGGTGGTTCAGTTTTCAGTAAAACACGAGCAAGGCATCGATTGTGGTGGCGGGTACGTGAAACTCTTTCCTGACACCCTGAACCAGGAGGATATGCATTCGGAATCCGAGTATTACGTCATGTTTGGTAAGCCCTGCGAGAGCAGTCCCTGTCAGCTGCGGAGCCTTAATGAGAGCCACCCAGGTGTCATAAGGGCTCAGGGTGACCTGAAGTTTCTAATGTGATAGCTCCGCCCCTCTATGCTGGAGGACTCTTCAAAGACCAGAAAAAAGCAACTCTAAACTTAAATGTGAATATAAATAGACCACAGAAGTGGAGAGTCACATATTAACAAGGCTCCAGTTTTCAGAAAAGGAGAAAGGGGTCATAAGCTGTGTAGACACTTTTAAACGTGACTATTACAACAAGCCTTAGTGCTCTGAAGGAGCCTCCCGCCCTCGGTGAGAAAAGGCTCAGGAGTCAGGGATCACTCTCATCACGCACCTGGAACGCATCCAGAGTGTTGCCCCCATGACCTCAGTGTATCACTAGGCCTCCCTGAGGCAATCCGGCTTTTCCTGAGCTCCAAACTCGAATCCAGTTTTCATGATGTTGCTATTGAAAAACCAACAGAAAACCACTAATCCAACTCCCACAGCACTGATGAAGAATGTGGATTTTACTGAGTATTTTTATACGAAGTTGGAGGAAAGGGTTACACTACATGTCACACAGCAGAATGTCCTTAAAATTCTCCTTAGACATTTCTGTCTTTTCTCATGGAACTTCAGATCTCTCCCTTCAAGCTCTTGCCCAAATCTTTCTCTTTAGCCTCTTTGCCCTTTCCTGCCTGCATCTCCATTCCCCCGATTTTCTTTCTTACCTTTCGGTCTATCTCATATGTAGAGCAATATAGCACTTTGAGTGTCTAAAATGTGTGCCGTTGCTCATCTCTCTTTTCTTCAGAATCCACCCATCTAACAAGGAGTTTATACATATGTACATGGTAGTTGTAGTAGGGAAATCAGAAATAAAAATTTAAAGATGATTTTTTTTTTCTTTTCATGTGAATATTATTTATTCAGTGCTCAAACAACCCAACAAGTTTGGGCTGTTATCATCTCCATTTTACAGATGAGGAAACAGGCGAGAGATTTGCCCGAGGTGGGGAATTGCAAGCCAGGATTTGAATCCAGTCTGTCTGGCTTTAAAGCCTGTGCTTTTTCTACTCCACCCTTTCACCTTCTGTTTGGTGGGGACACAGGCATGTGAATAATTTCTTAAAAGGCAGAATGAAAGGCGTGCTTTGAAAAACGTGTTGGTGAGTTGCTATGAGGTCACAAAAGATGGCATGACTCAGTTCAACTGGGGACTTTGGGGAGGAGGTATTAATTGTTCTTTGAAGAATGACTTAGACTTTAATAAGCAGAGAAGGAGATGAAGGAAATGTAATGAGGGCAGAGGAAACAATGTGTGAAAAAAACTCAGAGGCATGAAATTCAAAGGCAAACAGAAAAACAGTGAGACCAGTATGGCTAGGGCACATCTGTGTGTTTTTTTTGGTTTTTTTGATAGAGAGCAAATGGGAAATGAGATTGAAAAACTAGGTTAAAACCTATTCTTGGAAAGAGGACATGACTTGGGTGTTGAAAATATAATATACAGATGATGTATTATAGAATTGTACACCTTAAACCTATATAATTTTATTAACCAATGTGACCTCAATAAATTCAGTTACAAAAATGAAAAAGAAACAAGTTGGAAACACACACACACACACACACACACACACACACACACACACGAAACCTATTCTTGGACCTTTGTCAAGTGAAGTTCTCCAGGCTCAGAGCCACTGATTAACAGTTCCCTCTAAAGCTTTCACAAAGCAGAAAGAGCCTCAGGCTGTTTCTAGGTAAATTTGAGTTTTAATCTTAACGAGGCTCCTTATTTGTTGTTTGACCTTGGGCAAGGTGCTTAACTTTTCTGAGCCACAGTTTTCTCAGCTAAAAGTGGAGATAGCAGCACCCACTTGTGAGAATTAAAAGGCAAAGTCCCTGGCATAGGAGGGGCTTCTGGTTGGGTTCAGTCAATGGGGACCCTGGCAGGAGATCAGAGGGAGGGGAAGAGAGTTGTGTCCCTCAAATGAAAGTCACAGCTTCTCTTTTGGCTGCCCTCTCCACAGGACCCTTTTTCTTCTGAGCTCTGGAAACCACTCCTCCTCACTCCTTCAAGGCTTAGGGGTAGGAATAGCCCTACTGTTGCTAGCCCAGAGCATAGCACTATTCCTTAAGTTTTTTCAGTGTCCTGCCCTGACCTTTGTAAATAGTTCCTTTATTAAATTTTCCTCAAATAATTCTAAAAATGAGCGTGCTATTTCCTACTGGGACTCTGATTAATATACAGGCTATGTCTGTTTTGGCCTCAGACCAGGCAAACTGCCTAAAAGTGACGTAAAATCATACATTGGGGTTTAATTTCCAGGCCCTGACATCTGTGGCTTTGACAACAACAAAGTACAGGTCATCCTTCATTACCAAGGGAAATACCATGAGAACGAGAAGACCATCAAGTGCAGGGTAAGTGTGTGGGCTGGTCCTTGGCCTAGAGGGAAGAAAAAGCATTTTAATATATGTTATGTCACTTAATCCTTACAAAACCCCTGCAAATTGAATACTATTGTCTCCATTTTACAGATTAAAAAATAGACCTAGAAAAGTACTGTAAATTACAGGAGTTCACATAGGAGCAGTTGACCCAAAAGTCTAGGAAGACACATAAGGCCCTCTCTTGGAACAATGCTTGGCATGGCTTAGTTCCCACTGCTGGATTTTGGAAAGGATGAGGCAAATGGGAAATGCTGGGCTTAAAAACGGGGGTTGGGAAGAATGAAATCTTACCATTTGTGGTAGCATGGGTGGACCTAGAGGGTATTATGCCAAGTGAAATAAGTCAGTCAGAGAAAGACAAATACCATATGATTTCACTTATAAGTGGAATCTAAAGAACAATATAAACAAACAAACAAAACAGACTTATAGAGAACAGACTGATGGTTGCCAAAAGGGAGAGGGTGGAGGACTGTGTGGAAAAGGTGAAGGGATTGAGAAGCAGAGATTGGTAGTTACAAAATAGTCATGGGGATGTAAAGTACAGCATAGGAAATATAGTCAATAATATTGTGATAACTATGTATGGTGCCAAGTATGTACTAGAAAAATCAGGGGGAACACTTTGTAAAGTATATGTTTGTCTGACACTATGCAGTATACCTGAAACTAATACAAAATAATATTGAATATAAACTGTAATTGAAAATTTTCTTTTTTTAAATTTTTAATGGGGGTGAGTTTATCTCGGTAACATCAGGGTAGAGAGACCTAGGTTGGCTAGAGGATAATAGCTGGATTTCATCAGCAACTCAGTAGGCATTCACAGAATGCCAACTCTTTCCTGGGCCTTGGGCTGGGAATAGAGTGAGCCAGACATGTCCCCTGACTTCACAGAACTCACAGTGAAGGTTAGAGTGAAGCAAAGGAGAGTGACCACCTTGTATGATCAGGGTCTGTGGAAACACACAGGAGGCCCCCTACCCAACCTGGAGACTTAAGAAATGCTTTCTCCTTGCAGTTGGAAAGAAGAACATGAATTAGTCTTGTAAAGGAGTATGACTCTTTTAGGGAGGATTGAATTCCTGGACGAGGTAATCAAGTGAGAAAAGTCTAGAAGACTTAAGGAAGAATAGCACTGCAAAAAGTTTGGTACAGGGGAGAGGCAGGAACTAAGTCTACAGAAGCCCATAGAGCCTGGGTCATTGGAGAGCTTGTGCTCAGGCTCAAGGCTTTCCCCAAAAAGACTGTACAGGGAAAGAGATTCCTCTTCTCTTCTTTCTCCGTAGAGGCTCCCTGAATCCTCCTCTAGGCTAGGCCTTGTCCTGGAAACTGCAGATACAACAGAGGAATCAGACATGGGGCCCTGCGGTTGAGAAGCTCACAGCCCAGGGGGACAGACAGAAAAAGAGACAAGATCAGAGAATGACCAGAACTGTGATGCAGAGAAAGATGGGAGCTAAGGGAGACCAGAGGAGTGTGTACTTTGGAGAATGAGACTGAGAGTCTCTACTGGGTTAACCAGAGAAATTGAATGAGGGATGTGGTGAAGTGTGTTTATGAATAAGTGGGGGTGGAATTCAGGAACTGAGAGTCTCTTTCAGGTGGTACATTTAATGCTTGAGATCTAAAGATGTCCAATGTGGAACTAAAATATTCCCTCTTCCCTTTCTAGATCAACAAAGACACTCACCTATACACTCTGATCATTCGTCCCAATGCTACTTATGGGGTTAAAATTGACAATAAGCAAGTAGCAGCAGGGAATCTGGAGGATGACTGGAACTTCTTGCCTCCCAGAAAGATAAAAGACCCCTATGCCCGGAAACCAAGGAAATGGGATGAACGTCTGCAAATAGAGGATCCTGAAGATAAGAAACCTGAGGTCAGAGGGCGTTTGGCTGGGAAGCAGGTGGGGATTCAGGTGTGGGGATGGGAGAAGGAGACTGGGAACAGCCGAGCAGAGACTGAGGCCCTCAATCTCTCAAGGAGGTATCCAGCTAAATATTGGCACCCAAAGAAACATGGAGAAAAGAGGGAAGAAACTCACATTTGTTAAAGATCTCTTGACCCTTCTGGCATCCTCTGTGAGCAGTGTGCTATGATCCCTATTTTATGGATAAGGAAACTGACACTTAGAAAATGAAATGACTTACCCAAGCACACATACATTAGAACCAAGATTTGAACTGGAATCTCTTTTTGACTCCGACAGTATTGATAGAGGGTGTGTGTGGAGTATACTTATTGATTCATTATCATTCACTGGGAAGCTCTACTGGATATAGCTATGAATAGGACAATCCAGTGACTGAAAATACTTCTGGGATTCAGAATCTAGTAGGGGATGCAGATAGTGCACAAAGGTCACACTGTGTAATTTGTGCTGAGAATCAGGGAAGCAAATCCTGTGGGAGCTCCTAGAAAGGCTCCTAACCCAGCCTGAGTTGGGGTGCAGGCGATGGTCTGGGAAGGAGAAGGCAACGCTTGAGTGATTGAGTTAACCTTGGGGTTGGAAACATGGACTCTGGGGTAAGATAGATACTGGTTTGAGTCTGAATTCCATTATTCACTAACTGTGAGACCACAACTTAATAGTTAGGCCTTGGGCAAGGAATATAACTGCTGTGAAAGTCAATTTCATAAACAGGGATTATTATAACACCTGAGTGCAAAGGTTGTTATGAAGATTAAATGAGCTATTTATATTCATAATATAGTGCCTGGTACATAATGAGTCCTTAATATACAGCACTTAAATGTTAATAATGTACTGAATTTCAAACCATGAATTCACTAGAGGGAAGTGGGAAATTCGGTTGGAGGGAAGATATTTCACACCCAGGGAACAGCAAGAGCAAAGGCTCAACAGTTATGTGGAAAGTAACATGGCTGTGTGAAGAACTGAAAGCAGCAGTTTAGTATTTTAGGAGCATAAAGTTCAAGGTGGGGAGTGATGGGAGATGAGGTTGGAATGGTCTGTTGGAGCCAGGTCATGAAGGGCCTCACCTACTATGTTGCTACTCCACAGGTCAGAGCAGACTCAGCCTCATGCAGAGGAGATGCTCAGGGTTCAGCAAGGGGCAGCATGGCACCCAGAAGCTGGAATCCAATTCCTAAGGAGAGACCTGCAGAGAGGCAGGCAGTGGCTCAGCCATGTGCAGGAGATTCAGCAAAGGGCCCCAATTCCAGGAGGAGGAAGTTATGGTCAGGGCATTAAGGCAGATGTCCAGATGAAGTGACTGGGCCTTTAGCACCACGGGAAAATTAAGGGCTAGGTTTCTTCTAGGCCCAGCAAACAGGCGCAGGGCAGCAATACCAACCTCCTCATGAGGACTATGCCCCCGATGTAGTCAGGGTTGGCTGAAGACCTGAGGAAGAGGGGAGATATTTCAGGTATCTATGCTCCCTGCTGAGTGAGCCTGGAGAAGATGGAAACTAGTTAGATAAGCGAGGCACTGTAAAGACAATAGCCTCCAGGATAAGATGCTAACTATTGTGTCTCAGGAATCACAAAGCAGCTGAGGGAGCCCAGCAACCAGTGAACTTTCCAAGTGGTAATGCTGCTGAATGACTGTGAATCTAATGGGCTGGGCATTGAAGCCTTCAGTCAGTCTGGGCAAATGGTCAGCTCCAAGGTGAACTGTCAGGTAAACAGAAACACTTAGGAGGCTTCAAAGCAGAAGAAATATGAATGTTGGGATAAGCTGTTTGTGACTGTCTTGGAAAATAGAATGGACCTAGGGTACAAGGGAGGACTGATACAGGTCTGGGAGCATACTGGGGTACAAGGCAGGTCACCAAGAGAGGCTTTTAGGAAGAGGGACCCAGGCTAGAAGACCTGTTCTGACAGTAGAGGCGCATGATTGAGGGAGGGTCAGAAACAAGGGAAATTTCCATCTTATTTGAGCTTAAAGTACTCAAGGTCAGCATGATAGTGAGCTAGAGGGGGGTGTGGGGGGGGTGGAGTCGTTTAAAGGCTTTTTTCTCCTGTGTAGGGTTTGTCTGCAGATTTCTGAACTGGGCTTTCATAGGGGTAAGGACAGGAAGGTGGTAGGAGTAGGGAGCAGGTCCAGCCTGACTATATTCTGGATCCCAATTTCATCCCAGCCTACCCATCCATCCTCATGGAGAAACATCTTGTTTTAGGACTGGGAGGACTTTGAGTACATCCCAGACCCAGACGCCAAGAAGCCAGATGACTGGGATGAGGCGATGGATGGACAGTGGGAAGGGCCGTTGATACCAAACCTGAAGTATAAGGTGAGGAGGTCTCTCCGTCCAATAGGTGTAAGAAATAAGACAGAAGAGATGTAAATTTTGACTTATAAAACAGAAACTCTGAGATCCTGTGGCCTCTCCACCCCCTTACCCCCAGGACTGTGCCTACCGGGGAGAAGGTAGGCTAGTGAAGGTCAGTGCTAGGAGGCAGGGGTCCAGGCTGCTCTAGGTGTTTATCCACGGTGGTGAAAAGCAGCCAAAGGAACATGATCAAAACAGGAAATTGTCTGGGGTCAGGAACTGGGAGTCTCAGAAATGGTCCAGAAAGGGAAGGCATAGCACGTGAGTAAGCCAAAGGTGTTGGGGTATGGGGGAACTTCTTTTTAAGGTCTAACTCTTGACCTCATGTCAGAAGCAAGAGGGAACTAAAGGAATCAGCTATTAAATGGTCCAGAGATAAAACTGACTGAAGTAACCATGATTTTATTTGGCCAGTTTCCCATGCTACCACAGGAAGAGAATAGCCCCAAGTGCCAGAGTCCTTAGATGGTGTTCCCTGTGAAGCCACATTTTCTTAACTTCATGAACAAACTTATGCAGAGAAGTTAGACCAGGCTCAAGATGAGTCTCTGCCACCTTGTTTGGCTCCCTTTGCATAGACAGAGGAACTTGGAAAAGTTTTGTGCATTAGCTCCAAGAAAGGGAAAGAAGTTCTAGGAATCCTGCTCTGAATCTGTATGCCTAATACACATTGTCCTTATAAATTGATTGGTCTTTTTCATTGCATGAGAAGAACGAAAAACTACTAATGCCACGTTCACTCTTGTTTCTTTGCTTAGGGACAATGGAAACCTCGAATCATTGACAATCCCAATTACCAGGGAGAGTGGATTCATCCAGAAATAGACAACCCTAAATATAAGCCTGACCCTACCATTTGTCACTATTATAACATCAGTGTTCTTGGCCTGGACCTTTGGCAGGTAAAGCTCTCTGCGCTCAGAGCCACTGATCAGCAGTCCCTCTAAAGTTTTCACGAAGTGGACAGAGCTCCAGGCTGGAAATCACAAGCCTTGAATGAGTCTTGATCTTTTTAAGCCTCAAACTGCTCATTGTTAAGATGGGACTCCTTGTATTCATCCTAATAATTATAAGAGCTAAAATTTATTGTGTCCCTATCATGTATCAAGTACTGTATTACAGACTTTGCAAATACCATTTAATTCTCACTATGAAATCTCCTATTTCTATATTTGAAAACTGAATTTCAGAAAAGATCAGTCATTTGCCTAAAGACATATCTGGTAAGCAGAAAAGCTGGGATCTGAATGCAGGCCTTTCTGCGGCCAGTTTCAGGGTTCCACTACTTCACACTGCTCTGCTGGTCCTACATGATTCTTGGGGGGTTCTGGGAATAGAAGAGAATCAGAGATGTCATAAAACTTTGAAATATTAGAATGCACAGGCAAATGTTGGGGGTGATTGTCCCAGCCATGATGACAAAGCCTGACCTAGCCTCCCTCTTTGCCAGTCATCTTTCCTAGCTCTGATTGGAAGGGAAACGGGAGGGCTCAGATACCCAGACCTTCCAGAGTTGTTCTCTCTATGTCTTTCTTCCTTAAGACCTGTTATTGAAGATGGGGAGGATTCTTCCCTAACTCAGGAGAAAAGAGAGTACCTCAAACACAGGCCCCAGAATGAAGGTCTTAGCCCAGGAGGCCTCTTAGAAACTTCATTCTACCTAGTCTTGGAATTCCCTTGGAGAGGAAGGGAGCTCATTTTTGTTAAACACTGGCCTGGGATTAGTGCTTTACCTATATTATATGCTTTAATTCTCACAATTCTGTAAGGTTAGTATCATCACTCCTTATTATTACCCCATTTTACATTTGAGAGAATTGTGACTCAGAAATGTCAAGTGACATTCCAAAGAGCACACAGCTAGTGCACGGTAGAGACAGAATTCAAAGGTCTGTCCGCCTCTGCAGTCCTTGCGTTATTGACTACACCCACTATATAACAGAGCCCCTAGAAACTGTAGGCTCTTGTCCTTGGGTGTATCCTGGAAGGCCCCAAGGCCAGGGATATTTTGGTCTCTGACCAGTGCTTTCGGCAGCTTAGGGCAGCCTAGGGTCCCTTGGACAGACACCCCCTATTTGAAACTTTCTTAGTTTATTCATTTTCTACTTTATTTCTACTTTCTTAGTTTCCTAGCTCAGAGAGACCAGCATATGAGAAAGGAGATGGTGTACATAAATTACCATGTGTAAGAGTCGGAAGGAAGGAAGGAAGGAAGGAAGGAAGGAAGGAAGGAAGGAAGGAAGGAAGGAAGGAAGGAAGGAAGGAAGGAAAGGGCTTGTGTCCCTTCCTTCCTTCCTTTTTTATCTGAAGAACATGGATACAGTTTGCACAAGGTTCCATTTCAGTTATCCCTTCTTAATAAATAATAGGAACTTTCTACATCTTGTAAAAATGTTTGGTCATTAATATTCCTAATCTGATTGTTTCCTTAAGATACATTGGGTGTGTGGTGGTTGTTTTTTCACTGAAAACACTAAGGTACACATTTTAAACTGTTTCTTTGCTCATCTACAGAATTTTAAAATTATTTAGCACTAATTGCTCTGAGTTCTACCAACCTCTCCAAGCAGGCATACCTTTCTATTTGAAAATTTACATCATGTAGAAGGAATGCTTCTCAAAGTGCATACCAATCACTCAGGGATTTTATGAAAATGTATCTGCTGCAGCAGGTCCAGGGTGAAACCTGAAAGACTGCATTTCTGAAACTCCGGCATTATCTCTTTACCATGTCCCCCCGGTGATACAGTTCAGCATAATGGTGACATCACCCTAGCAGGCATTCTTTTCTTCTAATTGGGTTTGGCACTCACAGGTCCTGCTCCACTCTACCCACTCAGCCAACCTGGCACATGCAGTTTACCGCAGGGTCCCCCGCCTGCTGGGAAAGCCCAGTGACTGTCTGTGGAAATGGGCGGGATTCCCTGAGCTGCCCTGTCCCAACCCAGGTTCCCAGCCTTCAGACGCTCTGTGAGCCCAGGTGCTCGCACCGTCTGTCCTCGCCTATGGAGCTGGGTCGCTTTCTTGCCTAGTCCCTGACCCTTCCTGCTCTCTGTTCTCACATCTTTGCTTTTTTTTGTTCGTTTGTTTAGACAGAAGCGATTGCATTCTTTCATCAGGACAAAGACTGGGAAAAGATGGCAGCAAACAAAGAAAATTCTTTGTCTTATCATTGGGACTCCTTCTGATTTTTGAAGGATTAGTGACACAAAATGCAATGAGTAGCAAAACGTGTCGCCATGCCTTGACACATGTGGTCTGTGGCACAGCCCTGTGAGGCTGGGAGGATGGGACTCACCATCTCCATTTTACTGCCAAGGGAGCCGAAGGCTCAGAAAGGTGACTTGACTTACCAAGAGCCCGTAGGTAGTAAGTGCCCAGACCTATACTCTTTCCATTTTGTGATCCACGTGGGATAGCACAGGATACCAGAGTTCGCTGAATGAACATTTTAGGCTTTGCAGTCTAACAAAGCTCCTCCTCACATGTTCTCTTCTGAGAACTGTGTACGAAAGCAGGGAAGGTGGGTTTTCGTCCATTTTCCAGATGAAAGCATGGAGGCACAGACAGGTCACTCCCTTATAAATTTTAGGAAGCAGGGCTGACCTTCGGGTCCTGATTCTTAGTGGGAGGCAGAGCCATGAGTTTTGTGTGAGGGGGATGGAGGTAAGGAAACACCGAAGAGAACAGGGGAGATTAGGAACATTTCTTGTGGGAGTAGGGAAAATGGAAGAGCCAACAAATGAGCAGTTCCCTCACTGAGACTGCTGATAACTCAAAAGAGAAAAAAAATCCCAAAGATAAAAACAAACAAACGGTTGCACAAAGAATTATTATTTTTAAATGTATCTTTATTGTTGAAAGTATTACAGATATCCCTCCTTTTCCCCCATTGGCCTCCTCCATTCCACCCCTGCACCTCCCCCTGCACAAAGAATGATTAAAACCAATTTTTTAAATGGCCCAGAGCAAAATAACAATTTCTATTCAAAGTAGCTATTTTGGCACTTATTTTTCTGTTGGAGTCAGGGCTGGTGGGATGATGTAAGCCAAATAAAAGTATTTCTTATTTCAAAATAAAACAAAACATTTTCAAACCCTGGAGGAGGGACATATAATAACTCATGCTGCAAACTATTTCTTGGTCACACAAGTGCTCCCACACAATTAACTTACTGATTTACGTCACATACTGCTAACGTAAACAACACACAATGACTCTTCCTTTTGCTCCTTTTGAAACATATCCAGATACTGAAAATTTATAATAACTATTACCATTTATTGAATACTACCTGTCAGACACTGTGCTTTACATATATTATTTCTAACTCACATGACACCACTGCAAGGGGGTTATTATTTTCAATACTTTTCTTATGACAAAATAGGCTCAGAGGAGTTGAGTAACTTGCCCAAAGTCACACAGCTAGTATGTGGTTGAACTGGTCTGTATGACTCCATGACTTGTGCTCTTTCTATTCTGTTCCTTTATCATTAAATCAACAAACACTGAAATTATTGTATACCATATATATGAATTCATCTTTTCCTTTAATTGTAAATACTAAATGTATTTTTTAAGAAAATAGAGAAACATGGTAGAGAATCTAAATTCTGCTAGCACTCTTTTTCTTTTCCCTGTGTTCTTTTGGTTTTTCTGATTATATGAGAAGAGAACCTTAAAAAAGGAATTTATAAGTGGCATTAGAAGTAGGTGCTGTCAACCTGAACTGAGACAAGAGCCACTGGGTATCAATTTGGAGCCTAGTAGAATGATGAAAAATTTCCCCCAACCCTCTAAAAAGTGGTCAGAGGCTTGGGGAGCATAGAACCTCAGGAAACAGTAAGTTAACTTCTCTCTAGAGTGGATCAGCCAAGGCGTTACAGCATCCTGAACCCTTTGTATTATTAATACCTTTGTATTTCCTCACTTCACCTTAAGTATTGAGTAAAAGCCTGGGAATCTGCAGTTAGCAAGGCCTCAGGTGATTTTTTAAACCCTCTGACTGAGTTCTAATAATCCCCATTGTTTTCATTTCAACAGGTGAAATCAGGCAGCATCTTTGACAATTTTCTTCTTACAAATGATGAAGAGTTTGCTGAAGAGGTTGGAAATAAGACCTGGGGACTAAGAAAAGTAAGATATTCCCCCACCCTGAATTCCAGGCGTCTGACTCTTCATTTGTACACTGTGCTTGGCATTTTAAAAATCAGCCTCACATTGTCTTATTTGCTGGTCACATGGCTCTGTGAGGTGGGGGAACAAACTCTCATTCATTAGACGTTGACAACTTTGTGCTTAACTCTGTGAGCACTTTCCAAAAGTTATCCCACTTAAAGTTAGCGCTTAAAACAACCCAGCAAGACAGATATTATTCCCAGTCTTCACAGGTAGGAACTGAGATTCTGAGAGTATATATAAACTGCCCAAGGTCACACACAGCCTTTAACTTGTTGCCTTAGAACTCACTCTCCTCCTGTGTCACTCTCTCTGCTCACAGTGTGGTGATTTAGAAGGGAGCCACTGAACCCATTTCTGATGGATCACTTGGAGAAAGAAGGAAGGTGTTCATGCTTTTAACAGCTTCCCTGCTCTCCTAGAACTATTTTATGGGTGGAGTGATACTTGGGACAGTGGCTTCATGGTGGTGACTCCCTCCATCCAGACTTCCTAGTTCTGCAGGAAGGTCCATTCAAGCAGGTTTGTGGCCAGTGCTGGGTTACCCAAGAGGCAGACTAAGCTCATGCTTAGAGTACCAGGAAAGCACAAGCACCAAAAAAGGTTTTTTGAGAGAACTTGGACATTTAATACTTTCAGAGAAGCATCGAAATAGTCGCCATGGAAAAAATTATTAGACTTTTGTACACTTTTTAGTCTGGTTTTGTTTTGCTTTTACTTTGGGGTTTTTATCTGATCTTGTTTTGATGAGGCAATATTACATATTGGATAAGAGAATGAGTTTTAGAGCTAGATTGCTTAGGTTCAAATCCAGGCTCCATCACTTGCTAGCTGTATGACATTGGAAAAGTTATTTAACCTCTCTGGTCTTTGGTTTCTTCATCTTTAAATTGGTTCCAATTTTAGTGCATGTGCTGCCGAAGCAAGCACTCCTCATCCTTAAATTGGGAATGATGATAGCAACTATCTTATAAGTTCCCGGCATATAGTTAGTGCTCAACATGTGGTACCTGTTATTATTAACCATACATTCTCTTGACAAATATAAGCACTGTTATAGCTGCTGGGGATATATCAGTGAAATAAAACAGAGAAGTTTCTGCCTTCATGGGGCTTACCTTCAGCTGGGGGGGACCAACAAGAAACATAGAAAGAGGTAAATATATATTAGTGAGATGGTGAGATAAAGGATGGAAAACAATAAAGCAACAGAGTGGACACTGATATTGAGGATTGTGCTCTTTTATATAGAGGTGATCAGGGCAGACTTCACTGAGTAACATTTAAGGACTTGGAGGAAGTAAGGAGCAAGCCATGCAGGTACCTGGAGTAGAAAAGCCTTCTAGGTCATGAGAACAACAAATGTAAAATCCTTGAAGTAGGAGCATAGCTTGCTTGTCCAAGTAAGAGTAAGGCCAGTGTGACTAGAACTGAGTGCGAGAGAATGAGAGTGGTTGGGGCCACATTCCTGAGAAAATGCCATCGGAGCCATTTTTAGTAAAGGAGTGACATGCGCTGGCTCACAGTTTAAGATATTACTCTGGCTGCTGTGCTGCAAAAGACTATAGGAATAGAAAAGGACTATAATGTCGCAAGGCAGAAACAGGTGGTAGTGGTGGAGGTAAAGAGAAATGCTTAGGTTCTAGATCCATTTTGAAGGCAAAGCTCACAAGAATGATTAGATATGAAATATGGAATTTAGGATTAGATAGGGAATATGAGTGAGAGTAAACAAGAATGGCTCCAAGGTGGGTTTTTGTTTTGTTTCTTTTTAACCTAAGTGACTAGAAGGATGGAGTTACTGAGATAAGGAAGAAAAAGGGAGAAGTATATTTGGGGGTGGGGTGGGGACAGGAATAAATAACATAATTGTTAAATGTTAGGTCAGATCTGATTATAGAAATCCAAGTGTCAAGGAGGTAATTGGATATGAGTCTGGAAAAGAGACATAAATTTGGGAGTCATCAGCCTACAGGTAATACTTAAAGCTCCATCTAGCTAGATGAAACCCCCTAAGGAGTGGGTATATACAGAAAGGAGATTCAAGGATGAGCTTTGGGGCACCTCAATATTTATAGATCAGGGATCTAATGTGAACCAGCAAAAAAAAAAAAAAAGTAGCCAGCAGGGGAGGAAGAGACCCAAGACAAAGTAGTATCCTGTAGGTCAAGTGAAGGAAGTATTTTAAGGAGAAAAGAAGTGATCGATGGTATCAAGTGGTCAAGAAAAATGAGGACTGAGAATGAACCACTGAATTTAGTAACATGGAGTTCATTGGTGACTCTGACAAGAGCAGTTTCAGTGGAGAGATACAGGCAAAAATGAGTTTGAGAAAGAATGGAAGAACAACCAGAGACAGGAAGTACAGACTAGTCTTTTGAGAAGTTTTGCTATTAAAAAAAGTAGAGCCCAGCCNAGTATAGACTAGTCTTTTGAGAAGTTTTGCTATTAAAAAAAGTAGAGCCCAGCCANGACAGGAAGTACAGACTAGTCTTTTGAGAAGTTTTGCTATTAAAAAAAGTAGAGCCCAGCCAGGTGTGGCTCAGCAGTTGAGCGTCGACCTAGGATCCAGGTGATCAGGGTTCGATTCCCAGTCAGGGCACATGCCCGGGTTGTGGGCTCGATCAATGACTCTCTCATCATTGATGTTTCTGTCTCTGTCTCTGTCTCTCCCTCTCCTTTCCTCTCTGAAATCAATAAAGATATATATTTTTTTAAAAAGTAGAGAAAAGGGGGTGATGGTAGGTAAATGGAAATGTTGGTCAAGTTTTTTTTATATATAGCTCTTCCTGCCTACTTGTATGTTAATAGGAATACTCCAGTAAAGTGAGAAACAATATAGGAGAGAAAGAGGAGAATTTCTAGAGCAATGTTCTTGAGAATGAGAGTGGATGAGATCTATTGCCAAAGAAAATAGGTTAGCTTTCCATAGGCATACACACATTTCATTCATAATCACAGGAGTAAAGAATGACTATAGCTCTGGCTGATGTGGCTCAGTTGGCTGGAGCATTGTCCCATGTGCCAGAAGGTCTCCCATGCACCAGAAGGTCTTGGGTTTGATTCTGGATCAGGGCATATACCTAGGTTGCAAATTTGATGCCTGGTTGGGGCACACATGGGAGACAACGAATGGATGTATCTCTCTCACATTGATGTTTCTCTCTTGCACTCTCTTTCCCTTCCTCCCCCTCTAAAATAAATTTTTAAAAAATTAAGAATGATTATATGAGAATAGATACATGTAGGTGGATAGACATGGTGGTAGGAGTATGTGTCAGTTGGATTCTCTGGGAAGAAGACATCAAGATGGAGTTAGAAATGTTGGAAACTTATTGCAGATAATGCCTGGGAAAGATGAAGGACAGAGGATAGAGGAGCAGACGGAAAAGCCTGACACCAGTGGAAGATGGAGGATTGGGTAGGAATTGCTGCCAGGTGCAGTGCAGCTCTGAGGAAGCCTCATCAGCTCAACAGGGCTCCTGTGGGAAGACTGACTGTAGAGGAGTACCATTTTGGAAATGGCCAGATCCCCATACTCAGTCACTGTCTGGGGGCTGCTTTGGAACAGCATGTCCTGGGTTTGAATGCTTCAGTGGATCCCCAGGTGCCCCAGCTACAGGCTATCAGCTCACTGCATTCCTCACCACCGACTGACCAGTTCTTTAAGAAAAATCCATACGGCATGCCTCCAGGGCTGCCTCAGAGTAAGTGGAAAATTTCTAATGACTGTGAAATAGGAAGTAAGGCCATCGACTTAACATGAGCTTGAGAAAGATGTGTTGGAAGTCTGAGGAGCAGAAGAAGGTGAGGAATAGTTATCTAAGGAGTAGAGTGAATCAACCACAGACATATAGTAGGCTCACCGGCTAGCATTTAAGCCTTAAGTCATAACGAGTTCAAAATGAGTTCAGTCTGCTTGGTTTCATGGTTTTCTTTAGCCACTTTCTCTGCCTAGGTGCAGGGATGGAGAGTTGGATTTAACCAGAGTTGGGGGTTTGCCCCATTAAGGGAGGGAAGGGCAAGGGAATTGAGGATGCTTGCAAGAGATTGATCACAAGAAAAAAAAGGACAGTAAGGACATGAGTCGGTTGAGGTCTAATGAAAAGGAGATAGGTTTGGCGCTCTCCCTTTGTGAAGGGAGCCCGCCCATGCCTTTCCTGCCACCCCCCACCCCACCCCTGCACATTACCATTCTCTCTCCTAAACTCAAAGGGCCCTTCTTCTGCCGATGCAACTTGTTTCCTGAGCCCATTTCTTCTACCTCTGTGACTTTCTAAATAAACTTTCTCTTACAGTTTGGGAGGGGGTGGGGTGGGAGGAGATAGGTTCAGTGGATTGTATAGGGAATTGGTGGAGTTGGTTACCTTTAGCAAGAGCAGTTTTGGTAAAGAATGGAGGGTGGAAACAGATCCGTGAGTAAAGCAGTGAGAGGGAAGGGAAGAAATAGAGACATTAATGGTGATCAGTGCTTTCTAGGCAGAAGGAAATGAAGGCCTAATTGAAAGAGATGCCTCCTCCCAATAACAATGTGGGAAACACAACAAGATGTCAAGTGTTTGCTGGCAGCAGGACTCTAGCAGGCCCCAGCCTACTGGGCATGTAGGTTCTCAATCTAGCTTTGTCCCTCAAGCCTCAGTAACAAGACCTCTAGACCCAGATGCTCTCGGTGAGGATTAAAGCCCTAAAGCAATTTGTACTGTGTGTCCTTTCTTTAAGGCCCCTCTGAATAGAAAATCTACGAAGATGCTTCTAGGGATGAAATTCTAGGGCCTGGATGAACACACTAGAGAACTCAGGAGTCCCATTTCTGACTTAATGCAGGGTTTTACCCGTCATAGTTCAAAATTCAGAGAGTTCCTTAAAGGTTGTGTTACTGTGACACAGCAGAAAGAGGGCCAGACTCAGAGCCAGAAAACCGGGTTTCTAATTCTAGTTCTGCCACTCACTAGCTATATAGCTTGGGCAAATTATTTAATCAGTCTGGACTTCAGATTCCTCTTCTAGAAAGTGAGACTAGTAACAATTACCTCACACATTACTGTGAGAAATAGAAATAATGTGTGTAGCTGGTTTCACTCTGAGTTTAGCAATGCTGTGGGCATCCAGTAAATGTTTGTTGAATCTGAACCAATTTTATTTATGAACAAATTACACACACACAGACTTCTCTCCACCCTACACACACTGAAAATGTGTATGTAAACAAACATCATCCCAGAAACCTTTGAGAGAGTGGGAAGGTGCCAGACATTTCTAACGTGGGTTAACTTTGTTTATACCATCTGTAAATTATTTTGAAATTCCACATTCTAAACAGGATGTAGAGAGGCAGTGGAGAGAACTGTTCGAGGAAATGGAAAAAAGAAAACAGGAAGAAGAAGCCGAGGAGAGAAGGGGAAAGGAGGAGGAAAGGGAAGGTGACATCTGGGGAATTGGAGAAGAGGGAAGTGAAGAGGATTTTGCTGAGGAACCGGGAAATGACAGGCAGATGGAGGACGCTGATGCCGAAAGAGCATTTCTGGATAAAAATAAAGAAGTCCGTGTTGACCAGACGGACGAACTGTAACTGGGTAAAATGGTTATACTCCGAGGAAAATGATGTTGAGGCCGGCAAAATCTGGGGAGCAAGATTACTTGCCCTTTTTGAATGACCTTTGGATTTGTTTTCTACCCCACCTCCTTTGCTCTGTACGACTCCGGGAAAGTCATGTCACCTCCTGCTGCTTCTATTTCTTTGTCAACGGAAAAGGAATGATAATTCCTATTTCACGAGGCTGTTGTAGGGATTAAATGAGATATGTGTGTAAAGTGCCTGATAGAAATATAGTCAATAAATTATAGCTATTACTACTATCATTGGCATGGGGTTTATGAAATTAATTGTTGGTAAATACGCTTCTGTATAAAATTGATCCCCACTTTCAACTTATCTGGTACATCCTGGAATTTTATTTTGTTTGCATATCTCTATTTCTTAATATTTACTGTGCAATTCTGATGGTTGTACTTGTGGTTTATGATGTTTTCTCCTTGCAGATGTATCAAGCACTTAAAAACGAAATCAGATTTCTTAACATAAAGAAAGATACTTTATGAAAGTCCTTTTGCCTCCTTGCTGTTTTGTGCCCTAATTCTTAATTATTACTTCTTTGCAGGTTTGCTGGTCTTACATTTATCTTTTCTGTACCACCTACTCACAACATCATTATCATATGCATTCACGTAGCTCTTTACAGATTGCAAAGCAATCTAACTTTGAGGAGTCCTGCAGTGTGCTCATTTAACGCTCATAGCAGTCACTGCACAGGACACCATTATGATCTTCCTTTCACAGGTAAAGAAACTGCTCAGAGTGGGCAAGTCACTTGCTCAGAGTCAAACAGCTGGTAAGGGGCTGGGCCAGTATCTGAACTCAAGTTCGTCTGCTTCCAAAGCTTATCCTTCCACTGCATTAATCTGTTGAAAGAATGAGTATCTATTACTATTGAATACAGATAGTCAATATTCCACGTGGAAGAAACACCCTTTTAAGGGAAATATGCACAAAGAAATTTCCCTTTTAAAACATTTCTTAAAAAAAACCGCACAAACAAAAATAAAACAAAATCTCCAGACCTATAAACAAACGATTAAGTGTGACAGCCTTTACATATTAAGAAGTGATACAGCTAGTGTGGTTGCCAGCTGTTCAAGGCCACCACAGTTGGTTCCTGGCTCTATATTTACTTACCAGCTGTGTCATCTTAGGCAAGTAATCTAACTTCCCTGCGCCTCATTTTCACATTTGTGAAAGTGGGTTAATAAAGGGACCTACTGCAAACTCAGCTGTAAGGATAACAATGCTGACTCCTTCCTTCCTTTGTTTTACCAGAAGTGCACCAAGGACTAATCCAAGTCTAGCTGGTGAGGTAGGTCCAGACATAGCTGTCATTTGATAGCACAGAGCTAAAAGTATGAGTCTGGAACTTAATAGGTGCTCAATAATTATTAGTTGAAAGAAGAAACAAAACCCTGGCTAATGGTTTCAGGGAAGATTTCATGAAGGAAGTGACTTTTGAGCCAGATCTTATAAAATGCATAAGAATGTGTCCTATGGAGAAGGCGATGTGTGGACTGAAAGGGTAGGGCACCAGATGACAGCAGGTGGGTGGTGAGGTCAGAGAGGAGCAGCAAGAACTCTTGCTTCCTTCTTTCCAGTAGGTTGGTGCCTGGTATAATTTCTGGTTTGGGAAATTTGCCTTTGTAGGAGAGGCAAGACTTTACCCTCTTAAGGTCTGTGGTTGGGCCTGAGAATTTAATTGACATAAGACAGATTAACAGGAGAAAAGCATACAAATTTTATTTAATAAAGTTTTATGTAACACAGGAGCCCTTATAAGGAAATAAAGACCCAAAGAAGGGCAAAACCTAAATGCTTTAATACTAGGTTGAACAAGGAGAGGCAATTGTGGAAAATAACTAAAATATACAGGGAGGCTAAAGGAGATAAGAATTATTTTAAGAAGGTCTGTTTGTGCAGAATTCTCCATCCCAGCTTCCCATCCTTGGCAATAAGAATGTTTCTTTCCTGATATATGGAGGGCAGCTCTCACATGGGAGTTTTCTGTTTTCAGGCAGAAAAGTGTAGATCAGAGTGTCCCTTCGGTATCTGCTGTTTTTCTCAAGTGCCTTTAGCTGAAAATAATCCTTATGCCAAAGTGGCATATTTTGGCACCCTTCACCTTTCTACCTGTTTCTATAATATAAGAGTCTTCCCATATGAAAAAGAGGAAGGCTTCAGGCGCTGAGTTTGCACATAGTCTTGGAGCCGCAGGAAGGGTGTGTGGGTGATCTACATTTACGGATGCCAGGCTGATATGAGCATTGTTTACTGCCAGTGTCTGCTCTGATTGGTCAGGCATATATATGTTCTACCAATCGTTACATATTTTCAAATGTCACCAGAAAAAGATATTCATTTTCATGCAGAATAAGAATATATTTTAATTTTTTTAAGCTCTTACTTTTACCTTGGTTAAATTTTCTTTTGCCTTTATTTTGATTGATGGTACAAACTTTATTTCAGAAATTAAGGTACTTTAACAAGAAAAAATCATGCCTATTTCCACCCATTCTGCACTTTGAAATTTTTGTTTCCTTCCTGGACTTGTCTTTTGAAACCCCACCATTCTGCCACTGAAACATACTCCTCCAGGTGCAGTCTCCCCCTCTCCCCCCCTTAAATTCTGATTCTATGTTTAGTTTTCAAAAGTAACAGGTGTTCAATGTAAAAAATTTAGAGTCTACTAACGTATTAAGAAGAAAGTAAACATTTCTCATTATCCCCAAATCCAGAAACAACTGTGCAATATTTTTGTTGTCTTTCCTTCCAGTTTTGTGTTCAGTTATTAATTGGTTGGTTTTGAGTTGAGAGGGTTTTGTTAATCACACTCCATAGTATATGGCACCTTATTATTTTTGGTGGGTGATTACACTTTATAATTTTGTTATTTATATTTTCCCTTTTATTCCTTCCGCTTCCTCACACAGGCAACTAAGTTCTATTTGATATATTTTTGTTTGTGTATGTTCTGACAAAATGTAGGAATCTGTTTTGCACAGAAGTATTTTTAATTTATGTAAATTATATAGTGTTTAAATCTCATTTTGTTTCTTCATATTTTTCACTGAGCACTGTTTTGTTTTGTTTTTTAAATTTTTAATATATATATATATATATATACCTTTATTGATTTCAGAGAGAGGAAGGGAGAGGGAGAGAGAGAAACATCAATGATGAGTCATTGATCAGCTGCCTCCTGCACGCCCCCTACTGGGGATCGAGCCCACAACCCAGGCATGTGCCCTGACCGGGAATCCAACTGTGACCTCCTGGTTCATAGGTTGATGCTCAACCACTGAGCCATGCCAGTCAGGCACTGAGCACTGTTTTAAAAATGCATTCATGTTGCTGTGTATATATATAATCTTGCTTCTGATTGCCACATAATATTTCATGATATAACATTTATCACATTTTAGCTCTCAAGTCTCTCAGTGATAACCAGGTTGTCTTCAAGTCCCCATCATCATAAATAATACAGCAATGAATATTTTAATGCATAACCCTTTATGCGCCTGCATAAGAATGCCTTTATGATATATCCCAGGAGTAGAATTGCAGGCTCATAGAATATTTGCATAACTTAATGTCCACACTCCCATCACAATGCATAAGGATTCCATTATCCCCAACCAGGTTGTGCATTATCAAAATTTTATAGTTTAACAGATGTAAAACGATAGCACATTGCTGTTTTAATTAACATTTCTCTGATATTTTTGAATATCTCTTCATATGCCTTTTGAATTTTGGATTTCCTCTTTCATATTTTTTGCTTATTTTTTTCTAAGGGTTGCTGCCCTCTTGTTTATTTGCAAGAGTTTTGTGTATTAAGTGTTTAAATATCTTCTCACTCTCTTATCTAGTTACTTTGTTCACAGTGTTTCTTGCTGAATAGAAATCTTTATTATTCATCAATATTATTGTCTTATTGTTTGTGCTTTTGAAGTTTTGCCTTTCCTTTTCCTCAGTCATAAACTATATTTTTCTTTTGTAATTTTCTTTTTCACATTTATTATGTCTTTAGTAGTCCTAGAGTTCAACTTTGTAGAAGGTGCAGAATTGTGGAAATGTGGTTGATATATCAGTTTCTGAAAAGGAGATATGAAAAGCTCCAGCTAAAATTATGCATATTTTAATGCTGTATAGTTAGGTACATCTATGTGTTTTGCTACTGCATTTATGTGCTTGTCTATTGTTTCTTTTATGAATATATAATGACTTTCTATCACTCGTTATCTTTTGAGACTAAATTCCTTTTTGCCGGATATTAAGATCACAACCCAATTCATATTTTCCTAGTGTATCTTTTTTTTTAATCTTTCTATCTCTTTATGTTTTAAGAGCATCTCTTATAGCCAATTTATTGTTGGATATAATTTTTAAAAACCCAACTGGTGAAGTAACTTATTTGCGTTTAATGTGATTTCTATATAAGATTTAATCCTACCATCCATTTACTATACATTCATTTTTGTTGTTGTTAATCCTCACCCAGGGACATTTTTTCTCATTGATTTTTAGAGAGAGTGGGAGGGAGGGAGGGAGAAAGAGAGAGAGAG